CAAAATTTATGTGTAAATGTTGTTCCAAAAACCCCTTATTTCCTTCTACCCAAAAAAATTCAGGTTGTTTTTTGTCTAATGACTCGTAATACATAAAGACATTATAAGCTAAAGTGTGAATCAGTATGCAATTAAGTATCATTGCCTTATACTATCCTGATCACACTCCAAGTTTTTATAAAGCAAAAAGTGAGGAGTGTCCTGGTAACAATGAGAAAGGTGCTTTTCTGTAGAGCTGCCCTCCTGAAAAAGGTTAATATATCTGACTGGTCAAAGTCACAACTTGCTACCCTGTCCTGCTAGTGTCAGATGCTGGGACTAATCATCTATTCCCTGGGCTGTGTGGAGTAGGGTGACTGGTGTCCAACAGGCACAAAGGAATCAGCACAAACATCAGATTAGAATGATCATTTGGAACTAAGTTGCATAAATAATAAGAAAAGCAACTCCATCTTCTAAGATGGTTTTTTATTTTTATTTTTTTGCCAAGGATGTTAGATTAAATGTAAGGTGATTCTAAATGTGTGCACTAGGTAGTTAATGAATGTCCTTAGCTCTGAGAAATTTTCTGTTTGCATTAAACAGTACATGTTTTGTTTTCTTGAAAAATATTAGTATATTAATATTCAAGTCAGTATCCAATATCTACTGCTTTTAACTGTCCAAACCAATATTTGTATCATTGTTGTTTGATATGAAATAAAATTATTTAATGTGGAGTGTTAATATCATATCACTTTATACATAACTACCAAAATTAAGAAAAGCAGGAAATCTCATAAGACATATAGTAAACATTTTTCCAATCCATCTACCTTAATGAATTTTCAGAAAAGAACAGCTAAAATTTTGGCAACAAAAAGAATGACACTTCCCCTTATTTTATATATACATGTACATTTGTTCACGTGGGTACCTGTACATATATGTTGTGGCGGATTGCTAACATCGAAAGGCACTGAATTAATATGCAAGCATAAGTATAGGGTCTTAATAGCAAGGTATTTTACATTTTCATTGACTCACTTTATAATGTGAACAAAAGAATTTCACTTGTCTTTATATTTGGTTTAGAAGTCTCATCCTCGAGATTGTGAAAGCCATTGTGTGTGTCCACCTCTAGAAGCTCATGCCACCTGGGTAGACTATTCTAAAGCAAGCTACAGTTGAATAAAGAAAATAAGGATGACTGTATTTCCTGGAGATTCACCTTTCCATTTTCACTAGAAAGATTTTTGGGGCAAAATAGGTAAGTTGCTGTTTACTACTTTTTAAATCTAAATAACCAAATATCCGGAACCACATTTGCCACTCACTTCTATGCCCAACTTCCATTCTCTCATTGGCAAGGGAAACTTCTTTGATGTGCTTTAATGTTAGCAGAGTTTTTTTTTTCTGTTTTGATTCTGCCCACTTACTTCTTCAGCACTCATTGGCAATGCACCATCTTCTCCAAGATGATGAGAACAAACCCTATCATACATGTATACAGAGTTGTGTTTTTAACAGACAGTAAAATCTCTTCTTTTACTGTGTAAAAAAGAGACAGGATTGCAGTGTTACAAAAATTCTATAAAACAATTAGATTTCAAGATTCTCAAACACAGGCACATGAAAGTGAGCACACTCACACCTCTCCCACATTCAAGAAGAGCTATCCTCTTAGCAAGAAGTCATACTGGTCCAATAATAGAAAATGTCATTCTCTTTTATGTGATAGGAATGAACTGTCTGATTGCCATATAGTTACTAAAATGCCAATGATGGTGAAGAATCCTTTCAATCACATGGAATATTTAAATTCTATTTTAGTAAAAGAATCCATTCAAATTACTTCATATTAGGTTAAAGAAATATGCACACTATATATAATCCTTGACCAAAATTATTTCATTTGAATCCTATAAAACTGATGTCATTATTTCCAATACTAAAGGTGAATAACAGCGTCAGTGCAGCTCTCTTTACTTACCCCCATTATTAACAGTGATGGGTGATGGAACACAAGGAGGAACACTACTCGGGATTTGCAAACCATTTGCATATGTTCTTAACCATACTTCCATGAGAGAGCAGGTGAGAAGAAGCACAGCAAGAAGAAAGCTTTGAAAAGCAGAGGCCAATCCTGTAGTTGCCTCTGCACAATCACGGGTAAGACAGCAGCATTTGAGCAGTATGACGAGGACATACCTATCAGAATCCTAATATTCAAAAAACTCTAGTTAAATTTATAAGTTGGTAGATTATATCTGTGTCTTAGTGAGGATTATGGCTGTGATGCAGCACCAGGGTCAAAAGGAAGTGTGGAGAAAAGGTTTTGTTGGGTTATTTCATATCACTGTCCATCACTGAAGGAAGTCAGGACAGGAACACAAAAATGCCTGGAACCTGAAAGCCGGAGCAGATGGATGGCTGTTGATTACTATCTTGCAATGTGTGGCTTTCTCAGCCTGCTTTCTGATACAACCCAGGACCACCAGTACAGATTGGCCATATCCACCATGTGCTGGGACTTTCCCATCAATAACTAAGTAACAAAATGACCTAAAGTCTTGCATATAGACTGATCTTATGAAGGCATCTTTTAAGTTGAGATTCCTCCTCTCAGATGAATGTTACGTTTGTTCAGTTGACATAAAATTTGAAGGAAGGAGTTAATAGTGCTTATATAATCTTCCATTTTCTGAGTAGAGTGCTACCTCATAGTAGCATTTTATGAAATATGAGGGACTCCATGTATCAAAGTGCGTATAACTATTCATCATGTATATGTGAAAATTTATAGCTTGCATGTTTAATAGTTTTGTGGGATGGAAATAAAAATTAAATATAATATCAAATTATAAATGGAATTTTCCAACTTCAGTGAAATTACAGATCTATTTATTATCTGTCAACCTATCTAACATCTGTCTATATATCTATCCTGTTTATCATCATCATCATCATATTTCAATTTATCATATCCATAACTATCTTTGTATATAATATTTTAATGCAATGGAGTTTGCTTAGCTTTTGTTAGTATCTACACTATGTTGAGTCTATAGTAATTAGTAAAATTAGCACATAAATTTGGTAATAGAAGAAAATACTAAGACAACTTAATGTAAAATTATGCTATAGAAAATGAACATAGAATGAAATATTTCTAAGACAGTAGTTACTATTTAGAATAATCTGGCCAATTGTGTTTTGAATGAAGAACAAACTATTTACTTACTAACTTGTTAATATTGACATAGACAATTTAGTCTCTTTAAACCAAATTATAAACACAGACACCCTGAGACTACCTAGAATAGAACCAAGTGACCAAAGCCTCATTCTTAGAAACGTATTTTTCAAATTCCACTAAAAAACACAATTGAACATTTATTTATTAACCTAAAAGTGAACATAGTTCTCTTTCAAGTGAATACTATATATCAATAAATATTACATTTAAAAATTTCCAAATATTGTCACTTAGCATCTCACTAATTTTACATTAGTTACTAATCTTTTCTTGAAAATATTCATGCTTATTCAGTGTTATTTGAACATTTCCACTTTTTAACTCCCTTTAACTTTGCCCATGCTTTGATGACTAATTGTCTTCCCGAATTTCATATTCTCTCTCTGTGTGTCTCTGTCTTTGTCTGTATGTCTCTATCTCTCTCAACCCTTTTGGGTTCAAATATATCTTCAGGTATATTTAAAAATGTCAAGGGGGAATACTGAATACGAATAGTTAAGTGAGGTTTAGTGTTTTAAAGTGTATATAATACAGGAAGCGGTAAATGACACTAAAGAGCTTGTCATTTCTAAAATAAAGATAAAGGTAAATAGGCACTAAAATTTTGTAAAGGTAGAGAGAATATAAATGTATAGTAGAGACATACAGATTTTTGCTAAATAGTTATTCTTTTGAAGTTTTGTATAGCCCCCCAAAAAGGGTTGTATATCTTCAAGCCTGATTGACACATAAGTATGGATTAAATTGAGAAGCCAAATGGAATAAAATTGTATCATTCAAGTTTACTTTCAGTTAAAATGTTAGATTTATCTTCAAATCAGCTCTTTCTTTGGAATGATTATTTTAATATTTTCATAATATTGTTTTCAGATTACTAACATAATGAATGGACAAAAGTGAAAACTTAAAGTCATAAACTTTGTTGATTTCCACTGTTATAGCACATAAATTGGTCATTACATACAATTAATTTGTAATTAAATTCAGAAATATACCATTCTACATATATAGCACACATGAATTTGACATGAATAAACACATTTGCCTGCATGGGTACCATCATATATACACTTATGTGTATATATGTTTTTAATAAGTTGATATAGACATATATTTATTTTTTCTTATAATTTTAGATTCAGATGAATTTTTGGAGAGCTAATAACATGTAGAGCTTTTGTATACTCATTGAAAAGCAGTACAAGCCTAAAGATAAGAACAACAAAACCATACACTTTACATATAACTTTACACCTACATTTACCTTTGTACTATTTAGAGCTAAAAGGAAAACCCATATATAGACCAATTCACCCAGAGTTCTTATCTACAGCTTTCCTAATTCTGAAAATGAAAGGAAACTGGAATGCTCCAAAACATATGACAGTAATTTCCAAGGTGAACTTAGTGGTGGTGATTGAGTGGTCATCATTATAATTTTGGACAGAGGAAAACTTCAGCACACATATTAACTCACTATGGTTTCAATAGCCTTCATCTTGACTGGAATTATAGTATTAAACATAACACAACTACACATCCATTCAACACCAAGTGCTAAAGTCGCCCATACTTCCAATACTAGTTGAACATGGCCAGTAGAACTTACTTGCTACAACACAAGGCAAACACAAAGAAAAAAAATATCTCAAAGCACAAAATATTTTATAACTTGTAGCTCAGAGCAGCTGATTACACTATGGTCTAGAAGGATTTCTTATCTAATTCTCACCATAGCAAAGAAACAGAAAGCATCTCTTACCAGAACAGACTAATGCTTCAACCTTGCTGTAGCATTTTGTGGAGTTCTTGTTTGAAAAGACAGAGCCAAAATGGCTTTGTGTGCACAGCTGATCTGGCTGATCTCCAGTTCCTGCACAAAAAAACAGTGTAATTGGCTCTCAAGAAAGTGGTGTAAACATTCATCACGATGGCAGTTGCATGTTGAATCTAGTCACTGCTACCCTTGTAGACTTTTCTAAACAGGCCAATTACATTCCTCTTTTCAATTCCAGCTGTTTGAATTTCTCCATTCAATGCTGAGATGAATATCTTTGAAGAAAAAATGGATTTGTGTCCATTCCACTGTGTGGACACCTGTAGTTTCTGAAAGTGCAGTCACAGACTTAACAAAAAACACACATGGTTTTAAATCAAGACTAGATCATTCCATCAACTTACCCAGTATTTACAGGCTTTTATATTTTCCAACTAGAAATTCTAAGTCTACTGTTTACACCTTATGATAATGAGGTGTCACCACTATTAAGTGTCTTTCACTGGTTATTTGATAAAAGTTAAGTGAACGTTCTACAACTCTCTTTTTCACAGAAGTCACATCAATGATGCTTGCAACATACCCTGGAGTCTGAATCCAGCTGTTCTGTGTTTCTCTATGTCATTAAATATTCCACTGTTCTTTTTGCCCAAACCTTCAAAGGGGCTCGGAGACAATCACAGGCTTTAATTTTTATGGGAGCAATGAAGCAGGTCACACAAGCCTGGCCCTTTTTCTGATTTTTAACATTCAAATTTTATGAGAACATTGGGTGATTATAAGTATGAGTGACATATTCTTGTTACCAAGAGAATTTGAATGTGAGATCAAAACGTAAGCCACAATAAAAAAATGTCACAATTTTAAGCTGAATCAGTCTCTGTGGTGATTGAGGCCATAAGTTGATCTTACAGCTACACAAGCAATCTATCTTTGTTTTGTTTCCTGAGTGTCTAAAGGCTGGTTAACATTTATTATCTCTGCCACAATGAAAGTAAGAACTAACTGCTTATGTAGAGGTGAGCTATTATTGCAGTTTTAGAGCTATTATTTTGTTTATGTAGTTTATATAAATTAAACAAAATACAAAACAATCTAATGACTTTATAAATAAGTTACCATGACTGTCAAAAGGGTGCAAATTATTACAATTCATGCTTTTGCAAATAAAAATTAGTCTATAAATATAAACAACTATTGCTGAATCATATTTAATTATATCATCTACCAAACTGAAGACAATCCACAAACCCTGAGGTTGAATTCTCATTATTTGTGTGGATAAGAATTATGCATAAAATATCCATAAAAGATGGGTCTTTGAAAACAATGTTGTTAAAGGATACCTTTGTTTTCAGAATACTAGCTGCAAATAATTGCTGAGACACAAAATAACAGGAAAGAATGTTATTTAAATATCAAAATTTGTGAACTGTTTTATTGAGACGATATGTTTCTATTGATTTAAAAAGGAAAACGGGCTCATCAATAATTTTGGTCTAATGACTTAAAAGAGACTTCAAGTTTATTCATCATAAAACTCTGAGATAATTTTTAAGATTTATTCAGTCATTGTTTTCAACATCACTTCTATGTACATTCTTCTATGTAGACATAGAATAATTGCTACAGATATCACAGTCAGATAATGGGTTTCACCATAACTCAGCTATGATTACTTTGTGTGACTAAATCTACAGTGCCATGATCATATCAAATGAATGGATGAAAATATAGCAGTAAAGATAAAAGACATTGCCTTATGGTTTCATGTCAGACAAATGGCCTGAATAATTTTCGGTTCCAGTCATTTTATATTGTTACAAGTGTTCCCTCTGTGTTTATTTGTCGTAGTTTACTCTACAGCATAGGATTTTGTTTTCAACATTGCGGCACAGCTTTCATTATTAAAATTATGCCTTGTAGATATGGTTATGAATACCTATAAAAATAATAGTGGATATGTGAAACTTCAGCCACTTTTTGTCACAAAAAGCACCTACGAGGCCACTAAGGAGAATGTATTCTTGATTTTTTTCTGTTACTTTAAATTCCTGACCACGAATAACAAATCTTAACTGCAACAGAGAATCTCTCTAATTATGTGGGATATAAATGCCTTAAAATTTTCTGACAAAATTGTAGTTCATGTACACATATGCATACTCACCCCAATACCTAACAGTTATTTCTGGATTGACTCCTAGTAGTTTTTAACTGACCAAGGAACGTTGTCATGGCAGTCTCCATGTGTGTCAGTTACTCAGTCTTCAACAAGTCTTTCTAATTAGTGCAATGTGTGGTTTTAATACAACTGTGTATTTCAGTTAATGCCTCCCTGATGTCTTATAATTCTCTTGTATAATGCTATTTGCTAATTAGAAAATATTGCAAAAATCTATTGCATTCTTAAAAATTAATTCTTATAGAATAGTCCATCTCTCAAGTCAATAAAATGGACCTCTTTTATTTAACTGCAAAGAACTAATTCCTTCTTGAATTCTTCTCTTTTTATATCTGTAAGAATCATTCCATCCTCTGCAAATCTGATCTCATGAAGTTATTTGAATCACAAGCTTATTTTATGTCTTCTTTGCCTGAATAATTCTTAAACACTACTTGACTACTCAGTAGCTTCATAGATAGGAATATTACCTCTGTTCTGTTGATCCCTAAGTTTTTCTGTATCCTCGCTCTTCTACTAAACTCCATGGTATTCTCTCTGTGTATTGGATATTCACTTGAACTCTAGGCTTTCCAAAAAGAAAAAAATCACTAGCTGCAATTTGGTCAAACAAGTAAGCCAATTGTACAGAATCCTTTGTAAACCAGGCCTTTCTCTATTCTTCAGTAGTTTAGCAAAATTCAACAACTTCTGTATTAATGATAAGTGACTTTTTTCAGAGTAGCTAAAAGAGAACTAACATAAAGTGAAAGTAATCAATTAACTGGTTGTTAATTGTGAATTTAACACGTAAGATGTACAAAATTGTTCCTTCAAAAATTGTTTATATTTCCTTTCTTGTTAGGGTTAAACGTACAGATAAAATCCACTGTGACAAGGAAACCCAAGAGGAGGAAAACTACCTAACGCTTGCAAAAGAGTCAGAGATACAGTATCCAGAGGGGTGTGAGGGTGTGTGTGTGGGAATCTCAGAGGAGTGGAAAGGACAGAAACTGTGGTCCAGATGTATTTTATAAGAGAAGAATCTATTTATAATAAAAATATTTTAAAAATTCACTGTGAAAATTTGTTATCACTTTAAATTTGTTACTTTCTTTGGTGTTATGCTGAACCTTTATATAGAGTATCTATTCACAAGCTTTACTCTGTGTGTGTTTGTGTGTGCATGTGTATGTGTTCATTAACTAATAAACCCTCATATATATCCTTTTGGGGAATATCATTTTCAGGCATGTGACTTTTGTTTATGCTGCATTTGTTTAACTCTATGAAGCTGTGTTACTTTGCCTGTCTAAAACACCTGATGGTCTAATAGAGAGCTGAACGGCCAATTTCACAGTGGTAGCAAGCATAGGCAGAGCTGGCAGGCAGAGAGATATGAATATAAGGGAGCAGCAAGAGAACAAGAAGTGGAGGACACCAGAGGCCAGCCACCCATCCAGCCAGCTAGTCATGGATTAAGAAGGAAATTATGGTATATGAAGTAAGACAGAGAGAACCTGAGAGAGAAAAGGCAGATGGGTTCATTTAATTTAAGAAAAGCTGGCTAGCAACAAGCCTAGCTAAGGCAGGACATTCATAAGTAATAATATGAGTCTGTGTGTGATTTTTTTAGGAGCTGGGTGGTAGAAACTCACCAAAAGTATCAAAAGGCAAAAGAGATAAAACTACCAATAATAATACCCTTAGGATATATTATATTGTTGATATGCTTGTGATACCTGCTGCTAACCTAAATCATCATGTTAATCAAGTTGATGTATTAAAGCATGACAATAATAATGTGAATAAATGCTCATCTCAGGAAAACAACTACAGATATACTTGGCAAAGTAAATACTGCATTAATTTTCAAAATATTTCACCCTTATAGTACAAATACTACCATTTATACACTTCACATTTTTTATACATCTGTTTTAAGGTCATGCATATCCATTGTCAATGTCTTGATTAAAAAATAAGCAGGAATGATCATGTGTTTTTTTACTGCATTTTCTATTGCATTATTAAAACCATGTCCATATTGTCTTCCACATGGCACATGATTCGTATGAGATGATAATCTGAATGTGGTGAGCCATGGAGGAAAAAACGTGGGTATCACAGTTATCAGAAAAAAGAGTAAATATGTGTTCAATCAGAAAGTTTATGTTTCATTTAATGATAGCTGTACAGCCATGTCCTCATCTTTAAAACAGGATGGTGATAAGCCTAATGATGTGTTGCTGAAGTTAGAATAAGATAGCTCTATATTTTTAAGATAACTTTACTTACACTCAAAATAAAGATCACGTTAATTCTGTAATAAGGTCCATTTAAAATGGACAAAATTGACAATTACACATAAAAATAGAAGCATTGTATATTAATATACACAAGTTATCATATAAATACTTAGAAGTGCAAATCCATGAACTAATAGATAAACGCTAATTAGGGCACACCTCATTAGTGATTTGTATAAAGGATAGCTTTTCAATGTGATGAAATAAAGAAAATAATAAATGAAAAACGCTAATAAAAAGTTTTTAAAAAGCTCTAGAGAGGAAAGACACTCGGGAATTGTTAGCTTTTAAAATTTAATTCCTATTTTCAGCATATGCTTGTGCCTGAGCACTTAAACTGAGGAAAGAAAAGAAATAATTGAAACACCCTACAAGTAACAAGAACTGGGTCAATTAGATTATAAAAGTTCAGAGATCATTATCTACTACTAAAAGAAACATTCTACGCTAGATACAAATCTGCTATGCTAAGAAGGATCAAGATTAAGAGATTTACTTTCAATGAAAAGTCCTTGAGATGACCACAGTCTGATCCCATTGCTACAAATGGACTTGATTTATAATATTTCTCAGTATTTTTCCATGGGTAAAATGAAAAGACTCTTTTACATAGAGAAAAGATT